GAGGAGGAGGTGGAGGAGGCCTTTGAGGGGCCGTCAGGGTCAGAGGGAGGCTCTGATGAATTACAGGACTCACGGCTTGATGAAGAGCCTGGCCCCTCCAGTCGTGTTTCTGATGAAGCTCAGCTGTGTGAGGAGCATGAGTCAGATTCGGAAGGCTCACACCTGGATGTGCTAATTGATGCTCGCAGGCGTCGTCAATCAGCAAGAGAAAAACAACAACAGTCTATGCGACTACTCCAAAGTAAAAGGAGAAGGCAATGAGAGGCAACGCCCTGGGACTGCTGTATAAAAAGGGGAGGTGTGGGCGTTGCTGGTTGCTGAAGGCAACTGTTTGCAAAGTGCTTCTTGGAATCCTGGTCTGTTCGTCTTGTTTGCAACGTGTTCCTGTGGACTATTTCCTTCCTTTGGACTTGAGTTTTGCTGTTTGTGTTTTGGACTTATTGACAGGTTTGTCACCCAAATAAAAGGGATTTTGTTTTGTTTTAAAGTCTCCAGCACATTGTATCAGCAGGGGTTTGGTCCTTGTGCCTCTAACAAGGACGGCAATAGGCTGGGATAGAAAAGAAGGGACCTCGGAGCTCTTCTAGTCCAGCCCCCTGCTCAAGCAGGAAACTCTATTCCATTTCAGACAAGTGACTGTCCAGTCTCTTCTTGAAAACCTCCAGTGTTGGAGCACCCACAATTTCTGGACAGAATTTTCTAGAATTGTGGGAGTTGAAGTCCGCAAGTCATGAAGCGGCCATAGTTCCCCCATGCTGGCTCAGGAATTCTGGGAGTTGAAGTCCGCAAGTCATGAAAGGGCCATAGTTCCCCCATGCTGGCTCAGGAATTCTGGGAGTTGAAGTCCACAAGTCATAAAAATGCCAACATTGCCTACCTCTGTCCTAGTCCCAGAAAAACACTTTTTCACAGAATTTCTCTTTTGGTAAATCAAATAAATGCTGCCGGTGACTAGAAATGCAGAATTTTTTTTCCTGCCTCCAATTTTGCCCTGTTTTGCTCCTTTCTTGCCACAACCACTGCAGTTAAGTTAGTAACACGGTTGTTAAGTGAATCCGGCTTCGCAAATTGACTTTGCTTGTCAGAAGGTCGCAAAAGGGGATCACGTGATCCCCCCAGGACGCTGCGACCGTCATAAATATGAACCAGTTGCCAAGTGTCTGAATTTTGATCACCTGACCATGGGACTGCTGCGACAGGTGTCAGCTTGAAAAAATAGTCATAAGACACTTTTTTCCAGTGCCGTTGTGATGTTGGTCACTAAATGAATTGTTGTAAGTCGAGGCCAACAAAAAAAGAAAGGTAGATCCCTGCCTGAAGGAGCTTGCAAAACGGATCCCTGTCCATCTCAGAGTCTTCTTTCTGCAAAATGTACCCCTCGGTTTTGCTGCGCAATGCAAGCCACAGGTGGAGATTTTTCTGGCAACTCCTTAAAACAGGGGTCCCCAACCCTCAGTCTGTGGACTGGTACCAGGCCGTGGCATGCCAGCAACTGGTCTGCACAAACAAGCAAAACCCCATCTGCAGAATGCAGGCACCACACAAAACCACACACCCTCCGGTCCATGCAAAAACCTCTCTCCATGGAACCAGTCCCTGGTGCCCAAAAGGTTGGGGACCTCTATCTTAAAAGACAGCCCCCTCCTTCCTCCCCCCCTTAAAAATGTCCCCTTAATTAGGAATAACCATCTTTTATTTTTACCCATGAACAAAAAACAGAAGACCCATTGAAGCACTGAAGCCGTCTGAAGCCGTCTCTCCCACGGGATGTGGCGAGGAGCGAATTCAATCTTCATCCTAGCAGCCGAGCCCGTTCCACCGTCTTCGGACTGAAGACGCTGACCCAACGTTGTGGTGCTGGTTGCAGGAGGAAGGGGCAAAGTCTGTGGCCTCTGCCCGCCCAGGAGGAACACGGTGCTGGGTGCAATTACAGTAATTAATGTGGAAATCTGGAGGAAACTCAGCCCCTTTTGGCACTCTGGACTGGTTAAGTGTGTAGGGCTGGGTCATAAATTCTTGCTTCTCTGTTAGGTCTCAGCCAAAAGCAGCAGAAACAATCAAGAGAAGTTGGAAGGGACCCATCTTCCTTCTGGTGCATCTTCTCCTCTTTGGAAAGACGCCAATGGAGCATTGGAAAGCACTCTGCACGCTGGGTTTATTAGATTTTTTAAAAGCCAGCTTTATTAGTTTATAAGTAATACAAAGTGGCAAACATGCATAATATTCCTTCCCCCCCCCTGAAACAACGACCCTGTGAGGTGGGATAGGCTGGGAGACAGAAGGACTAGCTCAAAGTCTCCGAATTGGCTTTCATATCTCCTAAGGCAGGACTAGAACTCACTTTCTCCTGGTGTCTGGCCAAAGTCACCCAGCTGGCTTCCATGCCTAAGGCAGGACTAGAATTCCCAGTGTCCGGGTGACTGGCCAAAGTCACCTAGCCGGCTTCCATGCCTAAGGCAGAACTAAAACTCACAATTCCCTGGTGATTGACCCAAAGTCACTCAGACGGCTTCCATGCCTAAGGCAGGACTAGAACTCCCTGACTCCCAATTTCTAGACCAGCCCCTTAACCACTAGACCACACTCTTATGGCCTCCTGGGATGCGTCACCCATTTGAGGAGCCACCCCTGGGTTAGAGTCTTCTGCTGAGCCGGCTCTCCCGTTTTTCCAATGCTTCTTCCCACCGTATGGTCAGAATCCTCAAATAATTTAAAATATTTGAATGCTGGTTTGAGAGCCTGCCTTATTAGGGGGACGGCAGAAACGCTGAAGCTGATTTTTTTCCATCGGCGTGTCTTTCTGCCACGAGGGAATGTTCCAGGTTGCCCGGTTTCCCAATCCGAAGACGTCTAGCGGTGATGGGTGAAAGGTCATCCCTTGCACTCTGCAGAGAGAGAATTGTGCAAGGAGAGGCGGGGCATTTACACACCCAGACACCCCTTAGTCCTACCTAAAAAAAAAAACCCCACCTGTTAAGTCCGGAGAATAATGGCGAAGGAAGCAATGCATTTTGCTAACAGATCTTTATTCTCTCTCTACAGCTAACAACCAACAAGAGCAGAGGCACGCAGGCCTCTATTTATACCCTCTGATCCCCGGGCAATTCCAACCAATAGTAGGCAGTCTTTCCCGCCTTGCGCATGCGCGCAAGGCCAGCGCCGCTCAGTCTGGTCCCGGGCAGCTTTTGCAAATGCCCGGGACTCTTGCATCGTCCCGAGCCTGCTTCTGCAGGCTCAGGACACAACACCCCTCCCCCCTAGATAAAATAATGCTGCGCCCAACATGGACGCCACCTTTGGTAGAGCATGTGTTTACTAACCTTTGCATTAAATGCACAGAGTATGAGAAGTATGGGGCCGTTCTGTCGTTCTGAGAACCAATGCGCCCAACCCAGTTTCCTAAGAGCTAACCAGTCTGGACCTCTTGTTCAGGTTCCTATAACTCTTNGACCTTCTCGGACCTGGAGAGACTGAAGTGTCCCCACCGTTGCCTTCCACACTAGGTGAATTACCCTGTGGCTGTCTTATGACTGCTGCCTGACTTCCCTGCCCGCCTCTTAGGCTCAGGTAGTCAGGACTCTGCTGTTCACTATACCTGGTTGACCTACCTCTTAGGGAGTTTTCTGGGCCCTCTGAACTCATCTCAATGTTCCCTGAAGGTGTGTAATTTTCCTGGCTCCTTTCTGTAGTGATAGAGTCCAAGGATACCTCCCTGTTAGCCCTAATGCGTGGAGACATCCTTCTGTGAGCCAATGCTGAAAAGGGCAAGTCCCCACCCTGTTTTGGCTGGGGACCCTGGTACCTTTCCGATTCAATTCTTCCTTCAGTTGTACCTTCTGTCGACCCAGGCAAACCGCAGCAATGTAGCCTTTCTTTCCGCACGCTCGGCAGATGGCGGAACGGAACCAACATTCTGCTCGCTTGTGGCGACCTCCGCATCCGAAGCATCGAAGCTCAGCTGGGCCTTTGTCCGGACGATCTTTGGGCCTCCTTCCGGCTGCTTGATAAAGCTTGTCCACTTCATCTTCAGGATCCTCTTCCGAATCCTCCCGCACATCCTCCTTGTGGATGGTTGCAGTCTCTGGAGCGCTTCGAGTGGGCCGCAGATTCTTTACCGCTCCACCTGCAGCTTCCTCTGCCGTAACCTCTCGCAGAGCATCTTGGAAAGAGACATCTTCCTTAGCAAACAGCTTCTGCTGTAAGTCTCTGTTCCTCAGTCCGCACACAAAACGATCGCGCAGCCTTTCTTCAAGATCCTTGAACTCACACGGTTTAGCCGCTCTTCTCAAGGCTGCAATAAATTCTTTTGCTGATTCCCCAGCTCGCTGATCTCTCAGTTCAAATGTGTGCCTCCAAGCAATGACAGATTGCTTGGGCTGGAAGTGTTCTTTCAAAACTTTCTTCAGATCAGAGTATGAAACAGTTTCTAGCAAGGCCGGGGCGACTAGATTCTCGGCGATCTCAAAGGCATCTTGCCCACAAACGCACAACATTGTGGCAGCCTTTAGACCATCTTCCCTTATCTGATTCACGCGGACGTAAGTCTCCACCCTTGCAACGTAAGATTCCCAATTCTCCGGGTGGGAGACATCAAATTCAGATAAGCAACCGATTTTCGCCATGATCAAGGGACAGGGTTTTCTTCAGCCACACCCTCCAGCAATACTGTACTGGCAGGATAGACGCTGACTTCAATGACGTCGTCCCTCTTCCGGACTTCTTTTGGGTGAGTCTTCAAGCTTCCCTAGCTGTCTAGACTAAATCCCACCTTCGTCGCCAGTGTTAAGTCTGGAGAATAATGGCGAAGGAAGCAATGCATTTTGCAAACAGATCTTTATTGTCTCTCTACAGCTAACAACCAACAAGAGCAGAGGCACGCAGGCCTCTATTTATACCCTCTGATCCCTGTGCAATTCCAACCAATAGTAGGCAGTCTTTCCCGCCTTGCGCATGCGCGCAAGGCCGGCGCCGCTCAGTCTGGTCCCGGGCAGATTTTGCAAATGCCCGGGACTCTTGCATCGTCCCGAGCCTGCTTCTGCAGGCTCAGGACACAACACCACCCACATGAAACCTTTGCCACGTTTATTTCATTTTTTACCTTGCAGAAGGACGTTCTCTGCCCGATGGAGAACCAGAATGTTAGAAAAATTTATGTCCTTGACTTACAACCGTTCATTTACTGACCGTCCAAAGTTGCAACCGCACTGAAGCGACTTATGACCGTTTTCCACACGTGACAATGGTTGCATTTGATCAATAGTTGATCTAAATTCGGCCGCTTGGCCACTGACTCACATTTATGACGGTTTCGGTGTCCCCGGGGGTCACGTGGTCCCCATTTGGTGACCTTCTGACAAGCAAAGTCAAAGACAAGCAAACCAGATTCACTGCAGAACCGTGTTGCTAATTTAATAACTGCAAAGGTTCACAACAATTTTGGCAAGAAAAGTTCTAAAATGGGGCAAACATCACTCGACCAGTGTCTCGTTGAGCAACAGGAATTTTGAGCTCAATTGCGGTCTTATGTCGAGGACTACATGTACTGTAAAGCAAGAGAAGAATGGAGTGTGGGGTGTGGGGTGTGGGGTGTGGGGTGTGGGGTGTGGGGTGTGGGGTCCCCCTGCCTGTCCCTCGCACACCTTGGAAAAAAGAC